AGGAACGTGCCGGGTTTGGTGGTTCCTGCCGGGTGTGTGGAGGTGATTCCTGGAGGAAGGCGGAGCCGTCGTCCCTGTGCCTGGGATGTCCCTGTGCCCGGGATGACGGGGATTCCCAGCGGTGCCGGGGGGGACACAGCCCGTGGGGGGGGCGGAGCCGGGGACACCGGAGCAGAGGCCGCCGTGCGCCGCCAGGTGTCGCTGGGGAGCAGTGCCGGTGATCGGTGACGGGACGGACGGACGGACAGACAGACAGATTGACAGACACTGCCCGGGGGTGTCGCCGGGGACCGGACGGACACACGGACACCCCCGGTGCCTCAGCGCCCCCTGGCGGCACGGGGCGGGCGCTGCCCCCGCGGGGCCACGTGCTCGCGCCCCTGCGCTGTTTGCGTAACTCGGGGCGGCCCCTGCGCCGCCCGCCCCGTTCCCGAGCGCTCCTGGGGCCGCGCTGCGCCGTTTGCGTGGCGGGCGATCCCCGGAGCCGTTACGCCGTTTGCGTGGCGGGCGATCCCCGGAGCCGTTACGCCGTTTGCGCGGCGGGCGATCCCCGAAGCCGTTACGCCGTTTGCGTGGCGGGCGGTTCCCGGAGCCGCAGCGGCAGCGCCGCCCCCGCCCGGCCGCGCTGCGCCGGTTGCGTAGCGAGCCCCAAGATGGCGGCGCGGTCGTCGTCGGCGGAGGCCGGAGCGCGGGCGGCGGCGGAGGCGCGGCTGGAGGCGAGGGCAGGGGTGAGGCGGGCGAGGGGCGGCAGCGCGTAGCGAGACCCACAGACCGAGACCCACAGAGAGACTGTCGCGGGTGGGCGGCCCCCCCGCGCCCCCCCGTCCTTCCCCGCCCGGCGGGTCCCGCCCTCCCCCGCCCTCCGGGCCGCGCGTCCTCCGGCCCCGCCGCCCCCGGAGCGGAGGATGATGAAGCTCAAGTCCAACCAGACGCGCACCTACGACGGGGACGGCTACAAGAAGCGGGCGGCCTGCCTGTGCTTCCGCAGCGAGAGCGAGGAGGAGGTGAGGGCCGGGCGGGGGGCGAGGCCGGGCCCGGGACCCCCGAGCCGCCCGGGGGAGGGGGGGGCTCGGTCCCAGCGGGGGGTTATTTTTAATAGGCGTAATTAAGCGTTAGTGGGGAAGTTGGTGCTTCCCCCCGTGGCTATTCCTCCCCGTTAGAGCCGGGGGATGCCGCGGGGGTGGTGGGACAGGCTGGGGCAGCGCGGGAGGGGGTTTGGCAGCCGAAGGGACCGACCACGCTGGCACAACTTCAGTCCAGCACATCACATGAGATGGGAGAGGAAACCTGACCTTGGATTTATAAAAAGAAACTGGGATAAAAGGGGACTGATGGAGTGCCAGAAGTTGCTGTCCAGAGAGCTTGGGAGGAAGTGGGAATTAAAGGTGGATTGGTTGGTTTCAGAGCGGCCGCGTTGCTAAGGGGCTGCATTGTCCGTGCAGTTCCAGAGACTTCACTCAGATGTGCAGTTTCGCACTATTCTTTATTAATACCTTCTGAAGGTGGGCTCGGGGTGCTCAGAGCAGTAGGGTTGCAGGTCTCCCTCGTGCTGCTGCGGGAGCCAGGCACACACACTCCACTGCGTTTGCTGTGCCCGAGTGAGTGGCTGTGCTAAAGTCTTTGTTCTCCTGATTATCATATTTGTAGCTACAGGAAATCTGAAGGGAATGCAGACAGTTCACTGGAGGAAAGGCAATTAGCATACATCCAGTTATTATTTAATGTGAAGGAGGCTGCACAAGCCCTTTGTAGCTGTGCTGGCGTGGTGAGGAGTGTCAGCATTTCAGCAGAAATGGTCTGAAGCTACAACAGTGTGTTTGGTGCAGCTTCAATGTAGCTGGTCCTTCCCATGAACTATGAGGAAATTTATGGTACTTTGAACTAACTGTGAAGCAGAACATAATTGTATTGTGTGACAGTGGTGGGGCTGCTCAGCACAGGTGGGTGAGGGTGTCAGGGTGTCCTCGTGCCATTTCACACAATTGCTGAGGCAGTTTGGAGATTCTTCTCAAGAGGTGGAGGCTTGGCCATGTCTGATTGCAGTGTGGTTAAGGGCAGAAATGTACTTTAAACAGGTACCTGATGTAACCAGCCTTTGGTTATGAGTTTTATTTTAGCACACCTCAGTTGGCAGCATCCAGCTGATCCCTCCACCTCCTCCAGCCCCTGGGAGCTGCTCTCAGAGCCCTCAGGTGTGTTGAGGACCAGTGTCAGAGCCCTCAAAGTGCTGGGACCCCAAGTGTGGCAGTGTCCCAGTGCTGACCCAAGAGGGTCGAAGGAGGAAAGTGAACTCATTCCAGAGGCAGCTGGTGTGGGACAGGTGCTTTCAGCAGGCCCAGCTGTCAGGTTTGTGTAAGGCTGAGCTTTAAAATCATCTGTGTTAGTTGTGCCTCTGCTGTGGTCTGCAACAACCTGTGGTAGATTGAAGGATCTCATTTAATTTAAGCTGGTCCCATTTCAGGCTGTAGTTTCTAGGTATGACCAGGGTAGAACAGTCTGCTCCTGGTTTTGCAGGCAGGAGTTGGGGGAGCTGGCTCCCCAGGCTGGTTGTGCTGGGTCCTTCCCAGGGGTCTCTGAGGCTGCGGGTGGAGCTCTGGGCGGGTTTTAGTGCCCAGGGCAGAGGAGGTTCTGGGTGAACGTCGTGTTGTCCCTGGAGCTGTGGGCACTGTGGGTGTGTGGCCTTGTCCCCTCGTCCCCAGTGACATGGGGCGGTGGCTGTGCTGCCCTGGGACACCTCGGGGAGGGAGCACTGGTTGCTGTGTCAGTGCTGCAGCCTGGGCTGGGGGGGTTTCCTCGGGATGTGCCCTGTGTGTGCTGTTGGTGAGGAGCCCCAGCAGGATGAGGCAGGGAGGGACAGTTCTGTTCCGTTCCGAATGCAGCCTTTCCAGGGCCCTGTTTGTGTGTGGTACCTGTGACTTGAACCCTGAGCTGAAACTGCAGCCTCTGTTCTCACCTGTTACACCCCTGCTGTGGGAGCTGCCCAGCAAGTGAGATTGTCTCGAGTACATTTAGGAAAGTTCTTATCCAGTCCCACTGGGATGGATCCTGTACTTGGCCTTGGCCAAAAGGCCAAGAAGCCATTTGAGTCAAACTTGTGTCAGTGATTGAAATCAGCGAGCAGGACACCTTGATTTTTAGTAATTTTTCTTTCTAGTTTTTCCTCAGGTTAATTCCCATTTGTTGTCACTTAAATAAACTTTGAGGGAAGGCAACTTGTGTGCTCTCACTGCTGCCCACGTTTTTTGATACCAAGTGAGGTGTTACCTGTACATGTTTAAGTAGATGGTTGAACATGGCTGTGAAAGATTTCTTGGTCTGCTTTGGAGAATAATACTTTCTTATGCTGACATATTTTATTATTGATTGCTTCTATTTAAATGGAAATTGGGATCTATTTAAAAGGTCTCTCCAGGGAGGGGAGAAAGAGTCAGAGCCAAAGTATGTACATTAAAGATCTATTAAAAGCTTACTGTTTGAAAAGAAGAGAGAAGAAAAGAACCATGTTTTGATAAATAAATTAAACTTACTGCATTACATAGGATTTTTTCCTAGGACTGGCTGTTTCTGGTTGCTCTTTCTTTTAAGTGCTTAAGAAATAGTAGAACTTTGCTCTTGCTTTTCTTCTTAATTTTCTCCTATGACTTTGAAAAACCCAGTTTTCTCCTGTTTCGAACCCCTAATTAGTTCTTGAATTAAACAAGTCTGTCGATGAACAAGAAGAAATAAGACAAATTCTGTTTACACTTACAGAGGAGGCTGCTTTCTTCTGTTTAGGTGTTTGCTCCCTGACTCGGCACTTCACTAATGTATTTTTCTTTGAAATCCCAGCAGTCCCTGGAGATTGCTTAAGCAGCATGTCCTTGGTTTGATGATACATTTGCAAATAAAGGGTCTTAACAGAGAAATACTTTGTGGGTTTTTTTAGTTTTTAAGTGATTTATTTTTTCCTTATGCTGCTGGAGGTCGCACATTGTCTCTGTATTGCATTTGGAAACTGCTACTTTTGGACATGAAAGAAGCTCTGGAACGTTTTTGGAAGACCAAGCATTGGCTGAAAAGATGCCTTTGTTACATATTCCTTTAAAAAACAGCACAGGGAGAATTCATTTCAACATGAATCTCAAATGGAGCAAAAAGTACATTTCTGACTTGGGCTCTGTGGACAGCCCCCAAAATGTGTGTGGTGTCCCAAACCAGGAGTCATCTCCTTGGGCAGGAGGGAGAGCAGGGGCAGCAACAGGATTCATTGGGAGAGTGGGAACAGACTTCAGAGGGCCTTTTGGCAGCCAAACCCAGGGCTCTGTTTCCTTCTCTTCAGGTGGAGTGAACTCCCGGGATATTTGCACAAGTGGGGAAGGAGAGTGCGGAGCGAGAGCTCCCGAGTCCTGTGTTACCTCTGGAATCACTCAGTGGTGTCCCTGCTTCTCAATATTGCTGTCAGGGTGTTATTTTTACATAACACACGTATCTTCTGTGTAGACCAGCTGTTTCCATGAGGAAATGTTCCAGAAAGTGTCCCTAATGCCTTCCTGTGCAGCGGCAGCTGGAGCCGTGCTCCGTGTGGGATCTGACAGGGATAAAAGGGCTGTGAGGCCGGGGCAGCGGCAGGTCTGAGCAGGCCCACATTGTGTCTGTGAAAGGACAAGCTGCTCGTTAACCAGGGCCGTTTTTAAAGACTTTTTGGAGGAAATGCCTCGGGAAGAATAGGATCCGGGCTCGATCATCTTTTCTGAGTTGTGAATGAGGCCTGAATGGAGCTGAGAGAAGGGAAGTTTCACCCAGGGGCCAGTGCCCTGCCAAGCCCTGCAGTCACCAGAGTGGCCCCACGGCCTCCCTGGGAAAGCCTTTGGAATGCAAACGAACCTTTTTCTTCTGACCTCTCCTGGGCCGGTTTTACTCCAGCTGTGATGTAACAGGCAGAGCCGGGATTGGAGCCACGGGGTGTGTTGGGTATCACGCGCTGCTCCTGGGCCATCCTTTGTGCTCTGCTCCAGTATTAACCGATAATAGCCAAAAACACTTGAAGTGCTTCACTGTTGGGATGTAGGTGAGCCCAGCATCACGTGATCATCCTGCTTCCCATGGAATACAGGCTCAGAATCCCTGTTCTGATGGCTCAGCTTGGCTGTGCTGCTGTCAGCTACATAAAAGGGTTGTGGTTGAAACCAAATAAAGTTCTCCCTGTCTGTTGCTAACACGTTACCACATCTGTAGGAGGATAAGGGCCAGCTTGGAAATGGGTCTCCTGCCTGTGCTTCTCCTGCCCCTCTCAGCTCTGCTCACAGCTCGTGTTCTCCAAGAGCAGGAGCATGGACAGACATCTGCAAGACCTGGCTTTCATCTCAGAAAGTGTTTCGCCTTCCCACAAAGGCAGCTGTCACTGAACAGTTTTACAAGCAATTCCACCGTCTCTTGTACTTTCCCAAACAACAGAAGAATGAAAATTGTTAAATTTTCACTTCATTCACTGGAGGCTCAGTAAGTTGTTTTGAAACTGAAGAATTGAGTCAGTTTTGTTCTGCTGCAACTCAGGGAAAAGTGATGAATATGGAAAGAGGAGGGTGTGCTCCACCCTGGCTCTGTGGAGAAGGACCCAGGAGTGGTGTGTACTCTGCAGAACAGTGCTTTGGAATCTCTTCCAGCTCACATCCATTTATTGCCTGACCTGAGTCTGGGGCTTTTTCCTGCTTTTCTCTCCTCATGCTGTGTCATGGGGTCACCCACAAAAATTGGATAGAGCAAAATCAACAAAACTCTACCTTACAAATAGCAAACATCCATTTTGGGATGCTGTATGTGACCTTCAGTGGTTGGGAAGCAGGGACTCCATTTCTTTTTCTTTTGTTCTTTTTCAGTCCAACTGAAGGACTGGCTGCACAGACCAGTCAAGGATATTTCAAATTTTGTGTGTCTTTGTATCAGAATTCATGTCTCTGGGGCTGCCCTTGTTGGGCAGTGGATAATTCACTCTGACTCTTTGTTCTCAGAAATTTCACGTTAACAT